CTGCTGTTGTTGCTGCTTGCGTAGAATTCTTTCTTTTGCGAGTTCCTCGTGGTGTCTTTGTATCTGCTGCAGCAGCTGCTGGTGCTGCTCCTGCTGCTGCGCCAGCTGCCGCTGCTCAAAGAGCCTAAGGTGAGGGGCCAGGGGCCCCGCCGGCATATCCTGCAGCAGCAGGTGCGCGAGCTCGAGGGGTACTGCAGGGTATATAGAGGTCCATATAAGCGAGGGTTTGCTGCTGCTAAACCCTAAACCCTCATCACCACCAACAACCCCACCACCCCCAACAACAACCCCACCACCAACACCACCTATTGCCCTTCTTCGTCGCTCCTCGGTACCCTCAAAGACAGAAAAATATACACGCAAAGGATCCAACACACTCCAGCCTGAAACACAAATATTTTACATTTATAAATATCTTTTTTTCGCAGCAGCAGCAGCAACAACAGCAGCAGCAAATGCAGCAGCAGCAGAAACAACACCAGCAGCGGAAGCAGCACGCACAGTAACTAAAACAGAAAACACAGCAGCCTGCAGCAGCAGCAAGAGCAGCAGCAGCAGCAACAAAAACGGCAGCAGCAGGAGTAGCAGCAGCCACAACAACGGCAGGTTCATCTGCAGCATCCACAGCAGCAGCAGCACCAGCACCAGCAGCAGCAGCACCAGCACCAGCAGCAGCAGCAGCAGCAGCACCAGCAGCACCAGCAGCAGCAGCACCAGCACCAGCAGCAGCAGCAGCAGCAGCAGCGCGCGATGTATTACCTTTTCGAATTTGTTTATAGGTGAGGAGCTCTCTAAGGGGCAGCAGCACCAAAGCCCCAACAGCTTCTCTTTGGGGTGTATGGGTGGGGCTGTATAGTTGATGGTGATATGCATGCAGGTGTGGGTGCTGCAGCAGCAGCTGCTCGAGTGCTGCTAGCTGCTGTGAGTAAGCTCTTGGGTTCACCTTGCGCAGCAACATCTCCTGCTGCACCAGCAGCTCCTCCTGCAGCAGTTTATCTTTACTTTTTTGCTGCTGCAGCCGAAGGGCCCTCTCAGCCTCCTTATAGAGAAGGGGCCCCCCAACACACACACTTTCTCCTTCATCTCTCCCCTCTCCTCTCCCACAACTGCTGTGTTTTTTGGTGTCTTGTGGGGCCCCCCAGGAGAGGGGCCCCCACGGGGGGCCCCCAACCCTTTGACCGCCTCATGCCACTCGTCCTCAGCTGCAAGAACCTCAAGAACTGCAGCTTCTCTGCTGGGGAGAATACCCACAAGCGAGCAGCGAAGGGCCCGCATGCTCGGGGGGGCCCTCAGGTCACTGACACCGCCGGGGTACCGGCGAGGTGGGGGGCCCCCCCCAGGCACTGAACCCCCCACAGGGGTTGTGGGGGCCCCCATAGGAATACCCATAGCGGACCCTAGGGGGCCCCTCGGGGGGGCCCCCACCAAACCCCACAAACCACGAGGATAGGCCGGCACCACCCATGTTGCTGTTGGGGGAGAAAGGAAGTGAACCCAAGGAGACGCATCCTGCTGCAGCCTGGGGGGTAAACAAAAAAAAAAAAAAAAAAAAAAAAAAAAAAAAAAAAAA